CATCCATCCAGCTATTTAACTATCATTACCAAAAGCACTGACTGAGAGCTTAGAACAAGCCCACCGCCATGCCAGGTAAGGAGGACATGATGTGAAGAAGCTATTGTGACATGGATCTCACTCAGCATGGGGAGAGGGACCATGACGCCCAGTGAGCATGTGTTTCCCCCCAGTGTGTCCTCCAGTTGCCACCCAAACTAACTCTACTGATTTCATAAATGAGTTTGTAAGCTCAGCCATAAGAAAAGATGAATACTTCTCACTTACATCGACCTGGATAGAACTGGAGGGTATTATGCTGAGTGAAATCAGTCAATCAGAGAAAGACAATTATCATCTGGTCCTTACATGTGGAATATAAGAAACCATGCAGAGGATCATAGGGGAAGGGAGGGAAAACTGAATGGGAAGTCATCACAGAGGGAGACAAACCATAAGAGCCTCTTAACTCTAGGAAACAAACTGAGGGTTGCTGGAGGGGAGGTGGGTAGGGGGATGGGGTAACTGGGTGATGGGCATTAAAGAGGGCACAAGATGTGATGAGCACTGGGTATTACACTCAACTGATGAATTATTGAACACTACATCTGAAAATACTGATGTACTATAAGTTGGATAATTGAATTTAAATTTGAAAAATGTGTTTGAAAGCAAGTTGTGTAAGACACTCAGGAAACAAATAACAAAAAATATTATTTTGGGGGGAGAGGTAAAGTCATAGAAATGCATCTTTGCTCATTTCCCTTCAGAGCACATGGTCATAGTCCACACAGAGTTATGAAAATAGCAACTCCCTTTCAAGCTCCTCGGGCACTGAGCCCCCACAGAACAGTCTCAACATGTTCTCTCCTGGAGAAAGGTGCGTGGATTGCTACAGCCAACTGGTCTACCAGGAGTCTCTCAGCTGCTGTTCCTGGACACACACCTATCCTTCCCAATTTGCCATGGCCACATAGTGTGGCACGGCTCAGCTGGCTCCATTTATGTACTCATTTGTGTTGGGGGGCAGTTCTCAGTGACTATGCCTATTCAGAGGTCAAGTCTTTCTTGAGTTGGACTTTGTTCCATCTCCAATTCCACCTACTGAGAGACCCAAATGTGATGGCAAATGCAAGTTTCCAAGCTCCACCGTAGCTACATGTTAAATATATGGTGTCCAAAACCTGATTTAAGAAACTCTTAGACTCTGGCCCAGGATTGTTCATTGGTCACACTGAGGTTTTTTAGGTCATGTGAAATTTGCCAGGAAATCCATCTTAGACAGTCCCACCCCTAGACCTTACCTTAAAGTATACACAATCGCTAGGTACTATTGGATTAGAAACACCAAATTTGTAAGCAAGACTTCCTTAGTGACTAAATCCCCACAGCTGGTGAAGTCCCTACCTTATCCTTTGTTGTCAGTATTTTGTTTGTCGTTTGTTATTGTTATGTTAGTATGTTATTACATTGTAACCCTTTGTTATGAGTAAAGAAGAAAGGAATCTTTCTTACTAAATATGCTGTAGGGTTACCCTATAATTTGATGACAAATAATTAATACTTCTTTGTAAAAAAACAAAAGTAAGAATTACCATGATCAGCAATTAATTTACCATACAATAATTCAGGGAAGTTTTCCTTGTTCTGTTCCATATGTTCTTGGCTCTTTTTCAAGAATACATTCTCGCATGCTTACAGAATAAAACAAAATGTCAAATTAGTAAGATAACAATTTCCACAAAGATGGAGTATATAAACTACCTGGTGGCTAAAAGCAGAAGCAGATTTGATGTGCACCTGTTACTGGGTCATCAGTCATCACTTTGTGGTATATTTGCAGCTGATATATTTATTTTAAAAAATATGGGGAAATGTAAAAGTTAAAAATTGACAATAAAATATGGGCTAATTAATTACAACCATGTTTACTAGGCTGTCAGATGAAAGTGAGGGGAATGTTTGGAATGTTTGTGGTACTTCTCCTTAAAGAACAAATCTGTGAATTCTGCATTCCAGTGATGGCACAGAAAAATTTGACATGTTTACAAAACCCAGGAGGTCAGACGTCTACTACGCAGTGCAGTCTAAACTCAGTGGAGCCCAAAGAAGGAACCTCAAGAAAGCTAAATCTGGCAAAGAAATCCTATTTTAGACTAATTTAAGGATTTTAAATCAAGTATTACAAACTCAAAAGGTAGAAGTGTCTAAAGGGTTTTGCTTGATTTCTGCATTGGGGTCTTTTTTGTTTTTAAGGGTAATGATTTGTAGGATAAAGAGAAAGTGAAGTGCCTTAGCAATCCTACAAGGCACATCTTAACTAACCCTCAGATGTTATATCAAGTAGTAGTTGCTTAAAGACCAATCTCCCTGTTTGGAGCTCTGTTTTCTTAAAGGAAACAAACAAACAAAAAAAAAAAAAAAAAGATGGGGTGGGAGCAGGCAACTGAGAACCAGGATGATCATGTCAGAACAAAACATTCTGGAAAGCTGTCCATGACAAGCCCCTTGCCTCTGCCCACACAAACTACTCCTGAGCAGGAACTGAGAAAAAACAAAACTTATTTTTACTTTTCATAATATTCCTATCCTCAGAGAATGAAGTAATTAGGTACCTAGAGAGATTTCCCCTTAAAAAGGGGGGCGGAGCGGCGCCTGGGTGGCTCAGGCAGTTAAGCCTCAGTCCTGCTTTGGGTTCCCTGCTCAGCGAGGATCCTGCTTCTCCCTCTGCCTCTGCCCCTCCCCCTACTTGTGCTTTCTCTCTCCCTCTCTCTCCCTCTCTCCCCGCCCCCCCAATTAATAAGTAAATAAAAGCTTAAAAAAAATAAAAAGAGGCAGGATGGAATGGGCAAGGGGATTGTTTCTGTGCAAAATCCAATGGACATTTGTGGGAGCTGAGCAGATAGAACACGAATGCACAATTATACAATGCTTATTTCAAGCCAGGTGTTTTTCTAAGTAATTTACATAATCAAATTCTTGAATTCCCGTAACAACCTTGTGGGGTAGGTACTACGATTATCCCCGTTTTATCCATAAGCAACAAAGGCACAGAAAGGTTACGTAGCTTGCCTAAGGTCACCCTGCAAGAAAGCAGAAGAGCCAGAATTAGATCCCACTGGCTCTAATGTCCACAGTATATACTACCTTGTGCAGGCGGTCACCCAGTCAAACCTTCATCATGTTCCAAGCCTGTGCTCCACATGGAGGATAGAAAATGGATCTCACACAGTCAAGGGAAGAGGTAAAACATGCATCATGTGAAGGGACCTTCAACAGAGGGACACCCAACCCAGACTAGGGCTGCCAACGGCTCCACAGAGGAGACGATGCCCGTGCTGAATCTAGACACACAGCAGACAACAAGGCAGGAGGCAAGGAGTAGGGTGAGGGGGGAAGAAACCTGATTCAGAAAGAGGGTACAGCACCTGTGCAATTTCCAGGCAGGCAAGAATGTGGATCTTTCAAGGAATGATATCTAGTTCAATAGGCTGGCATGGTGGTACCATGGGTGAGAAAGTCGGGCGGTGGGGGGGAAACCCAGGCAATACCGCAGAGGCCAGAATGCCATCGTGAGTGGCCTGTGGCCTGGCTAAGGAGCGTGGCCTCATCTTAAAGTCTACAAGAAACAACTGGAGAATTTTACTTTCAGAAATAAAGTGATCAGATCTCATTTCCCAGCTCACTGGCTATCACCAAAGGCCTAGACTGGAGAGCTGAGAAATGGAAGCAGGAAGACGAGGAAGATGTGATGTTACGTATTCCAAAATTATAAAAAGAAACTGCAAAGATATGCTGGAAGCAGGTGGCCATGAGATGGAGTAAGGGGGAATTGCTTACATCAAGGGCAGATCTATACACAGCAGCACTGTGTTCAGCTCCCCCCCTCCTCCTCCCCTCCCAGTTCCCTTTCCCATCCCTGCAGACTTCCAGCTCCCAGGGTCCTTCCTAGGGGCTGTGCCCTTAGATTATATCCCAACACCTAACCTTGAAATGCTCCAGGGTCTTCAGAAATGCTCAGAACAGCACCTTCCTGAACCAGTGAAGAAACGCATGCCCTCTCTTCCCTAACCCCTTTGCCCCCCCCCCCAAACAATTCTTGAAATTCTGAAGTTAATCACTTTGGAAATATTTCTCTTTTTGCTTATTAGAATTTGCTTACATTCCCATCAAGGAGCTTTAGGTCCTAACTGGCTTCTAGAAGCCTGAAAGTATTTTGAAAGGATTACGATTCAACACGCAATGCACATTCTTGACCTTATTATCTGCCGCTTTCCTGGTCTGGACGAAGGTCCTCAGAAAGGGTTTGTGTGTGTTTTTTTTTTTTAAACAAAGATCCCCGTTTGTGTGAGCTATCGCTGGACCTTGTCCTTTACCTTTGATGCCTTGTAGAAAGGCCTCTTTAAACACAAAACTTCCTCAGTGGTGTCTTAAAAATTCTTGAATAAAATCATTGCTTTCTTCCCATTTGTAGCAGGGTTGAAATATGACTTAAAAGCAGATGATGTTCAAGTCACGAGCATCTCGTATTCTTCCAAAATAAATGTTAAAATGCTCAACAAATATTATAATATTTAAATAAATTTCCACTTTCCTTCCAAATACCAAGGAGGGATACTTTTTGGGAGCTGAAAACACTGGCCAGCTCTGGGCCTCTGAAAGTTGAGTCCCGGGGAGACTTCTCACATTACAACCTGTTCACATTTTTTTTTTTTCACTTCAAGTGAAATCCTTTGGCATGAATTGCTTTGAACATTAATAGGGCGTATCACTTTTTTTAAAATTGATTCTTCAATAATCTCCAGACTAGAAGGACCAGTTAGGATTTTCAGAACAAAAGACAGTGGGATGCTGGACCCGCACCCCCACTATCCCCTACTACCCCTACCCAACTTCTTGTTTCCAAACCATCCTGTCTCCCCAAAACGCTCCTGAAACTCTCCATGACCCCCAGGCCGCCCCCTCCCTCCCGTGAACAGAAGCGACAATCCGGACAGCTGAACCGCTTAGATTCAACTTACCTTCACGAAGAGGGTGATGTCGTGCTCCTGCCTCGGGGCCCCCTCTTCTGACGTCTCGCCATCCTCTCCTCCGCCATTCACCCGCTCCGTCTCCTCCCGGCCCTCGAAGCTGCCCTCCTCCGCCAGGTGGTTGCTGAGCTCGGCCTCGGGCTCCGCCGCCCGGGTTGGAGCGGCCGCCTCTGCCCGCGCGCTGCTGCTGTCTGGGGGCTCCTCCTCGACCCCGGCTGCAACCGGCTCGCCTGGCACCTCCGGGCCGCGCTCTCGCCTCTCCTCCTCGGCCTCCTCCATCTCCTCTTGGAGTTCACCCTGGTCCCCGTCCTCGACAGCTTCCGCCCTTGAGTCCCCGGGGGCCACTTCCTCCGACTCCTCTGTCCCCGACGCCCCCGCCTCGTCGGCGGCGGCGCCCGCCGCTGCACCCCCAGGCTCCTCTGCAAGCTCCCCGGGGCCGCACCCCCCAATCTCCGCCGCCGCGGCCTCGGTGGGCTCGACCTGGGGCGGGGAGCTGAGATCCCCTCCGTCCCGGGGTTCACCCTCCGCCCCGAGCGCCCCTCCCACTTGCCCCGAGGCTTCCATGCTGGCCCCCTGAGCCCCCGGCGTGCCGCCTCCGGGTTCCTCTGGCCCTTGCTCCGCTTTCTCCTTCGCCCCGGGGACCTCGGTCTCCCCGGGATCCCCCTGAATCTCCCTCGAGGCCTCGCCCTGCGTGCCGCGGCCGGAGCTCGCCTCCTCCACCTGCTCTGCGCCGCTAGCCTCCTCTCCCTGGGGGACCTCGGCGCACCCCGGGGCGCCCTCCTCGGTCTCCGCCTCGCCCTGCGCTGCCCTCGCGCCTTGCGTCTCGGCCCCCGGGCCACTGTCCGCGCCCGGCTCCGGCTCGCTCGCGCGCCCTGCGTCCGGATCGGTGCCTTCTGCCTGGTTCACCGCGACCGTCGCTGCTGCGCCCGCCCCCTCGCCCCTCGGCGCCTCCGCGGCGCCCTCGCTGGACTCCTGCCGCTCCGCCCTCCGGCCCGCGGCCCCCGGCTCGCCAGGTTTCTCTGCCAGAGGCACTGGGGCCTCAGACGGCCCCTGGGGACCTGGGAGGGCCCCCTCCAGCTCCGCGGACTCGGCCATGGCCGCAGATCCCTGTCCTCCCCTGGAGACCTTCCTTGACACCGCTGATGGAGCAAGCGGCCCTGGACGAGGAGCTCCGCGCCAGGGGGCCACTGCGCGCGCTCCAAGACGACGCCCCGCTCAGGACTCGCGGGGCGCCAGGCGGGGCAGAGCGCTGGAACTACGGGGTTAAAATGGGCTCGACCCCAAGACACCGAGCCTCTCCTCCCGGTTTAAGCTCTCTGGTATCTTCCTCCACTTCCACCGTAACTGCGGTTCCACGTCTGCTTCCCACCCAGACTCTATCTAACCCAGGTTCTCTGGAGGCGCTGGCCACCGAGGAGCAGAGCTCGGCTGGGGAAGACCTCTTAGCTCCCGCACCCTTTGAAATGCCTGGCCTGCCTGTCCTGGGGCTGACCAAAGTTATCGGTGCCAACTCCATCCCCCTGGGGCTTGGGCGGGGTTTGCACCCCATCCTCTCCCCCTGTTCGGGGGCCTGGGAGCCTGGCCAATGACAGCCTTTCTCACGGCCCTTGTGGATCTCAGTGAAAAGATTCTGGTTCTATTGGCAGCTGGGTGTTTTCTGTAACAGCATCAAGTTCCAGAGCCATTTGGATCACACCCCTGCCAACACCCCACACTGGACACCCAAATACCTAATCTCCACTTTCCCCCAGGCACCCAAGCATTCAGCTTCTCAGCTGGTACCTAATGCAGATGTCCAGGTCCTACCTCAATGTCCAAGAGCAAGGGAGGTAAATCCTGGAAGACAGGTAAAGGGGAGGCCACCTACCAATTTTTGCAAGCCCTTCCTGAGAGGTTTCTCTGCCCCATATAGAAGCAAAAGGAGTCTTACTGCTCTGACCAGAGATGGGCTCTGTTGAGCACAAGGGTCCCCTCCTCAAGGTATGACAAGAATGGGGGCCGTGCACTGGGGAGAGGTTAGATCCTTCATCTCCCTGTTTCCTGAAGACTCTAACAGTCTATGTTTCAAATTCTAGATTTTTCTAAACCCATGGCCAGTGCTTTACCTTGTTACGTGTTAAGGGCTTGGGGAGGTGGGGGTAAAGAGGAGAAAATACAAGATTTGAAGAAGGGGAGCTGTGGCATTCACTGGGTTAGGAACCTCCCGGAATCCCATACTGGACACCTTTTCCCCAAGAAAAGGAAGTTCTGATGAAAATTATGTAGTAATGGGGCGCTGGAAGTTCTGATGAAAATTATGTAGTAATGGGGCGCCAGGGTGGCTCAGTCCGTTAAGCCCCTGCCTTCGGCTCAGGTCATGATCCCAGGGTCCTGGGATCAAGTGCCGCGTCGGGCTCCTGGCTCATTGGGGAGCCTGCTTCTCTCTCTCTGCCTCTGCCTGCCACTCTGCCTGTGCTTGCTCTCTCTCTCTGACAAATAAGTAAATAAATAAATAAATAAAAATTATGTAGTAAGTTTATTATGAGCTAGGCTGAATCATGTGGGTTACAGAGAGGAGCCTGCTACCCCAGATGGCCAGTCTAAATGTGATAGAGTAGGGAGCCCAACTCAAGACTGATTTGAGTTTGTCAGGCTCTTAGTGGCCTTGACACTGAACTGAGACACCTTAGTCTATCACATCCACAGAGGGCTCTGTCATCCCTAAAAGATCAGATGGTATCTTTGATACAGTTTAGAGTCACTCATTTAGCCAATCATGAGGATGTCTCTTTCTATATTCATTGTCCATCACTGAGGAGTAACAAGACAGGAGCCCAATCTCACCTAGATTCGTGCTACCTTTCTCCAAGGTTGTGCCCTGTTGGGAAAGGAAGGGGCCAGAAGCTTCATCACCACAAAGCACGGCACTCACACATATGAGCTAGAAAGAAATATCAGACACAGATGCTGCCTTGCAAAACCTCCGGTCACCAGGAAAATCCTGCAGCATTTGCAAGGCAAGACAGCGATCAGCCTTATTTCTTAAGGAAGGACAAAGCCAGCACCATCAGCCCCAGACAGCAAACACAGTCCAGGACAACGCAAAGCCCGTGAGGCCAGATGTGTTTCAGAAAACAGAATTCTTAGAAATGGAAAGTTGGCTGAGAGTTTCCAGTATATATTATGTCACACGGCTCACCACCCCGTGATCAGACACATTGTTATTTCTGCAGTGGTACCAGGGAACATTCATATTAGATGGGATACGTAAAAACCACATATAGCTCCAGGGATCCCAGTTCAAGTTCACCACCAAATGAGTTCTGGTCAGTCTGACTTTGCTTTCAGAAGAGGTCCCCTCGAAAAGCTTGCAGTTTTCAGAGTTTTTGGATTTCGGAATGTATACATGCATTGTGGTCCTGTGACCTACTGCAGGGTTCTGGGTTTATTTGCTCTCCGTGGAAACCTCCGAGATTAGTTACATCTATACATTTCTTCTTAATAACAAACCAACTGTCTCCAATGCTCTATCATCACAAAGAACCAAATCAAAGGCACATACGTATATGAGTAACAGTATTTCGTGAGCCTTAACTCAGGCAAAGTTTATAGAAACTCCCTCCTTATAGGAAGGTTGGCATCTCTGAAAAAACTCCTTTTGAATCAAGACCAGAGTTGATTAACTCATGAATGCAAACTCACCACAGCTGACCGGCTGGCTGAAGGCTAGTCTCAGGTAGTGTCCTCATTGAAAAACAGCCCTAGTAAAGTCTATTCCATCCTAGCAACTGATCCTGCATATCCTACAAGGCTGTTTTATTCTATAGGATTAGGATTTATTTTTATATACTTTTTGCATTCATTTACTCACATTGATATTGGCTTTAAAAATAACACAAGGCCATCTGTAGAATGTAGACTTTTCCATATTTTAGTCATAGTCTTAATAAACAATTGTTAAATGTTTACATCACATAATTCTACAAATTTCTTTTAGTTTCTATAATTAAATGAATATATTATTTTTATTTTTTAAAGATCTTGTTTATTTATTTCACAGAGAGAGAGAGATCACAAGTAGGCAGAGAGGCAGGCAGAGAGAGAGGCGGAAGCAGGCTCCCTGCTGAGCAGAGAGTTGATGTGAGGCTCGATCCCAGGACCCTGAGACCATGACCTGAGCCGAAGGCAGAGGCCTAACCCACTGAGCCACCGAGGTGCCCCAATATATTATTTTTAAAAGAATACAGGGTTCAAGCTAAAAGTTGAGAAGACAGAGAATAGCAGAGCTCTTTACAATTTTTCTGTAATCCCGTTACTCATAATAAACACTCTCCTCATTTTTAAGAGAGAGAGAGAGAGACTGTTCCAGACACTGGGCATATAGCAAGGAGCAAAATTGAGAGGTTCCTTTCCTTTGCAGGGGTTTGGGATGGAACAAAATTAAATAAGCAAGCAATTAAGCCAGACATCTGTGGATAATGTTGGGCTTTATACAGCCTTACACTCTTACACTCACACATGCACATTCTGAAAACCTTAATTTCTTTTGTTCACACACCTCATCCAACCTGCCAGTAAATCCTATTATCTTCACTTTTTAAAACTTATCCAGAATCCAACCTCTTCTCTCTACCCCCATTGCTGCCCCACTGGATCAAACCACCATCACCTCCCAACTGGTCCTCCTGGTTTTCTTCCTTTTCCAAAGTCTGTTCGCCACCCCAAAGCCAGATGACCCTCTCAAAATCACGAGTCTGCCAGGCCACTTTTATGCTGGAATCCTTTCTTTTTTTACTTTTTATTTCTCTTTTTTAAGGTTTTGTTTTTAAGTAATCTCTACACCCAACATGGCGCTCACACTCACAACCGTGAGATCAAGAGTCACATGCTCTACGGACTGGGCCAGCTGGGCATCCCTGTGCTTGAAACCTTTCAAAGTCTTCCTGTCTCACACCAAGAAGTCCAGTCCTTATATATGAAATATGTGTCCTATAAAATCGGGCACCCCAAACTCTTTCTGGCTTCACTGGCATCTTACACATCAAAACCTTCTGCTGTTGCCAGAATTTGCTGGGCTTGGACCTTACCTTGTTGAGATTTTCATAAGCTCTTTTCTCTAAGCACCCTATTTTATTTTATTATCGTATTTTTGTGGTGATAACATTTAGGATCCACCCTCTTAGCAATATACAATACGATATTGCAGTAATTTAGATCTCCAGAACGTATTCACCTTGCATCACTGAAACTCTGTGCCCTTGACTGTCATCTCCCTATTCCCCCCCCCACTCCCCCAAAGGCTGGTTACCAAAGGCAACCACCATTCTACTCTCTGTTTACAAGAGTTGGACTATTTAGATTCCACATGTAAGTGAGATCACGCAGTATTTGCCTTTCTGCATCTGGCTTCTTTCTTTCTTTCTTTCTTTTTTAAGATTTTATTTATTTGACAGAAAGACACAGTGAAAGAGGGAACACAAGCAGAAGAGTGGGATAGGGAGAAGCAGGCTTCCCACTGAGCAGGGAGCCCGATGCGGGGCTCCATCCCAGGACCCTGGGATCATGACCTGAGCTGAAGGCAGTCCCTTAACCAACTGAGCCACCCAGGCACTCCCTGGCTTATTTCACTTAACAGAATGTCCTGTAGGTTTATCCCTGTTGTCACAAATGTCAGGTTTCCCATCTTTTTAAAGACTGAATAGTATTCCATTGTGTGTATATACCACATTTCCTTTTTCCTGTTCATCCATCAAAGGATATATGCGTTGTTTCCATATCCTGGCTATTGTGAGTGGTAGATAAGCATCCTATTTCAAAGCTCAATTCCTACTCTCTATCAGCCTTCTCGGCCTTATTTTTCCCATAGCAGTTATCTCCGTATTACATATAATGTATTCTGCTTCTTTATTATCTATTTCCTTGATCCGCGCCCCCCCCCCCCAACCAGGATGCTATTGCATGAAGACTGGGGTTTTCTTTGTCACTGCCTAGAACAGGACTGGGCACATTGTAGTAGAAGCTTGATACTTCTCGAGTAATGAATACATGTATGCTTTCAAATACATATGTATCAACTAGAACCAGTTTTCAAAAATACCTCAGTTGGTTTTATACTT